AGCTTATTAATAGCACTCTGCCTCTTTCTAATCTATTCAAAAAGCTGTACAGTGTGCAAAGCTGTTGTGACATGATTTTTCTTTTTTAATATCTCACCCTTTGACTGTCAGTATATTTAGGGGGAAATGAAACTAATCATCAGTGAAGGCTCTAATGCAACTGTTTTGCAGCTGGTGGGGAGCTCAGGAGAAAATTCTGTAAGAGGAAATAAAAGAGAGAGAGAGAGCAGGGATGTGTGTGTGTAAGTGTATACATGCATCTTATAGTAGAGGTTTCACAGAACAAACTAAGAAGGCAATATTCATTTGCAAATAAGATAAGGGAAATATTTATATTTTAGAAAATGAAGGAAAAAAGGCCATTTTTTGTAATTTGTCCTGTGTGCCCTTTTCAGTGCCGATGTATCACCTCCCCCAGAGTGGAACTGCCTGGTCTGGGAGATTTTACTGAGGATGCAAAGTACAACATTTGGGTGTGGATGGACCCCACTGTCCTCCAGGTAAGAGCCACCCCTGCTATCATTTAGCTTAAGCCCAAACTGATCTTTTGCTGTTGCTGGAGCAACATTTCAGCCACAGACACTCTTCAGCCTCAGTACAAAAGCAAAATCTGTATCCCCTGGCAGGGAGTTCACGGAAATCAGTCCCAAGATTCTCGTTGAAAATGGGAGGACAGAACCATGGAAAAGCTAAATATAAATCAGTGCAGCTTATCAGGACATGACAGGTGGGATGATAATGATTTACTACAAGTATTTTAATGCATTAAACCAAACTACCAATTCACAGCGTTAAGCCCAGTACAAACTGTTACAGCAGAGAATAGCAAAGTACAGGTGGTAAAACACCAGGTGAGGCATGGAAGGAATTCCCAGAGGTGGATATCCTGAAACCAGGGGAGTCTAAAGAGCCAAGACCGAGGCAGGAAGGTGGTAATGGGGGGACCAGTTCCCCACACAGCAGCCTCTTGGAGCTGTCGGGATGTGGCTCCTGGGGATCCATCCCTGGGCACGTCGTGAGCCCTCCCTCGCTCCCCCAAAACTGAGAACCCCACTTTAGTATTTTCAGTGTCTTTTTTATTTTTTTCTGAGGCACAGCATGTTCTGCTACTAAAAAGGTGCGAGGCAGAAGCAAATTAAGGGATGATTTTTGAGATGTTCAGGAATTGCTTATAGGGAGAACCTATTTAATAACAGGGTCATTCATGTCAATCCACCTCATGCAACTTTTTGAAGAGTAAGCATCTGAAAGTAAGGAAGAAATTCAACCTTACTGATATTTACAGGAAGAAGAGTAACAGAACAACTTTTAGAGAAAGAAATCCACTGGCCAAAAAATGTGAGAACTATTAGAATTTATGGTTCCTTTTTTTTTGACACTTTTTGTCCATGACCAACACTTCTAAGGGCAGGTGATCACACCAGTGTGTGTCTATATAAACATAAATACTGTATATATATATAAAATCACACATATATATAATATATTATATATAATTTGTAGTATATATTATATATAATATATAATAATATACAATATATAATATATATAAAAATAATATATAATATATTATAAATATTATGTATTTTATATATTATATATTGTATATATACACACATATATATTTTTTATGTATAAAAATGCATATATTATGTATACACATGCATTTGTAAATAGAAGGGAAGTGTCAAACAAAGCTCGCAAGATGCCTCCAATAATTGCACAAATGTCTGCAAGTAGGTTTCATGCTTTCATGTGGTACTTTTAATATTCCTCATACAAAGAAAAGGTGATGAAATGACATTTTAAACTCTGTAATTAGCACTGCAATAATGTTGGTTGTTTAAATTGGTTAATAATATAATAGAGGAGCTCTAATTTAATAATAGAGACATAAGCCCAGGTATTTCTAAATGAGGATGGTTTCCCACCAATTGCATTTAATACAATTTTGCCTTCATTTATTGGGTAGATAATGTCCACTGTGGAGTGTGGCTGTGTTTGTGGAATTGCCCTGGATACCATCAGAAGAGACAGAAAAACACAAAAACTTGCAGACTGGGGAGGAAACAGAAGTGAAAGCTTCCCTCTCTGCTCCTGCTAGTTCCTTAAAAATCAATTTTAATATAATCTGAAAAGTTCTGATTTTGGTACATTACTCCATCCCGTTTGATTTAATTTCTGCTTCTAAAATAGAGGTTTCTGGAGACCTTACATTAACTCCACAGATTGCAGCTGACATTGAACACAGGTATAAGTTATGAAGCAAATACAGAGGACCATCCATTTCAATGTGTGATTAAATGCTGACTCAAGATAGTGCAGTATTTTTGATCCCCAAATTTTTGATTTAATAAAATTCAGGACGGGCAACGAGGAGTCGCAGACAAATTAAAATTTATTGAGACAGACAAAAATGCAACTATTCCAGACTACAGTTAAGCATTTACAGTTAACCAAAGGTAGCAAAATGCTCACATTCCACTTAACTCCTTATGGAAAAAAGCATTCAGAATTTACTATGCAGTTCTACTTACTATGATAGTCTACATCCATCTACAGTAGGGACATCGAACTGAAACACGGAATATTTGGATCTCTCCTTACAGATCTACACATTGAACAGTAACAGACAATCAACAGCATTGAGAAAAGTATAAAAAGACCAAAACCCACCTACTGTAGAAAGGGCTTTTTGATGTATTAGTAACTGTACAAAGCAGCCTGTGGATGAAAGGAACCCGAATGACACACGAAAGGGACTGCAGGAAAAGCCAACAAATGTGGGAAGCAAAGCTTGAGCAATCTGGTGGTCTGGATCAAGTGGTGACCTTAGATCTATGGCAGTCGCTGCTTGAGGGGAAAAAGGCTACAAAACTTCTAATATCAAAATATTCCCATGCCAGAAATGTACACTGAGACTAAAACAGACTAGGCTGGAGAGGCAAAGAGAAGCATTCACTAACAAACAGTGTTGTTTTAAATATAAACTTTACATTTTCAATATAAACTGTAGAATAAATATTAAATAAACACTTCGAATGGTTTAAAATAATAGCACAGAATAGCTTAAAAAGAAGAAAAAAAAGGCGAAGAAAATGAAAAGGATTCTTTGTGTTCACAGCAAAGGCCAGTAACGACCCCAAAAAATCCAACTGTGCTGACATCTGAGCTCAACATTTTGATTTAACCACAGTAGTTAAAAGAAACACAGAGCAACACCTAACAGTATCTCATAGTCTCTAATGTGGAAAGAAAATGAGATTAAAAAAACTGGTTTGTGTCTCTAAAAGAATGGGACAGCTCTGATTCCATTTGTCACAATGAGAAAATGTTTGGAAGGTCGATGACTTGATTCAGATGGGAAGTCCTGCTTTGCAAAAAAAGGAAAAAAAAACAAAAAAAAAAAGAAAAGAGAAAAAGAAAGGCATTAAATTAAGCTGGAAACAAATGAAATCTTTTACAAGCCATGAAGAATGGAAGGGGCTCGATCTGGAAGAGAATTGGTTCTTGGTAGAACCGCTGGTTTCTTTTAAAGAAATAGAAGATTTTCTCACTGCATCTTCCCAAACTGGACACACACACTTAGATATGCACACACATAGATGTGCATAAATGTATTTACACAGACACACAGAGATATACACATGTATATAGAGAGGCTGCAGATCCCCCTCCACCGGAGGATGCCAGTGGATCTCAAAAGGGCTTTGCAAAAAAGCTTTGCAATCATTGGGAACTGCTGCAAAGGGGGACAAGGACTGCCCCAAAAACCCCACAGATCAGTGTGGAAAATGAGGCCAGTCAGGAGGATGAGCATTAACTCTGCTGATTGAGGAGCTCAGGTTTGGGTCAGGGTGAAATGGCAGCTCTGTGCCTTCAGGCAGGTCCTGCACAGCACAGACAGTGAGGGGTTAAGTAGGAAAACAGCAAAAGAAAATGAAACAGGACATTTGAGAAGAAACCTTCTGACAACGTTCAATTGCTGCTCACAAAATCATACTCTTTAGGGAAACAGAAAGGCTGGTTTATCTGTCCCTCTTGCAAGTCAGCAGGATTTGCTATGAAAGGCAAGTAGAAGAGTGTATATATGTGTGTGTATGTGCTGTGCAGCTCATGGACAATGAGTTTTTAAATATGTTTTTCTACAGCTACAGGAAAACCAAAGGGTTTCGAGGCAGGGCAGATTGCAGGCCTTCTGCGAATGACTGATGGCAGATTTTTGGGAGGATGCAAGGGCGTGGAACAACAAATTCCTCCCGGTTTTACACGTCCTTCTGCATTAATAATGATTATGCAGGTTTTTATTTTGTTCTCAGGCCACTGATCTAGATAAATATGGAAATGAAAGAGGGGAAAACAACTGAGCCCCTGCAGCATACGGTGCCTGAAAGGAGTTCCTCTTTTGATCATATCTGGAAGCAGAGGCCCTACCCAGAGCCCTGCCAGGTGGGCACTGACTTTGGGAAGGCTGTGGACCAAAGGCCTTGGGCCAATTTCCCTAAAAAACTGACCTCTGTCAACCAGCATGGAATTTTCTTGCTTTCAAGTGACTGTGTAACCAACCATGTCTCCATCTCTGTGTCCACCATTAACTCAGAATTTAAAAAAAAAAAAAAAAAAATCTATCTAATTAGTTTTTGGTGTAATAAGCACATTTTTCATTCTGCAAAATAATTCTCTGGCAAAACCGCAGGCACTGCTAAAACACTTACACCTGCATCCTAATGCAAGAGTGGGGTTGAGGTTCCTCTTACTGCTTCTGAAAACAGCAAAAGTAATAAAAGGTCACCACAGCGTCAGAGAACTGCCGTGGGAAAGGACACTGCAAAAAATTTAATGCCAATATGCTGTGATACAAGACCTTTTAATATATGGGAGACGTCGAGGGAATCACAGATTGGATTTTAATACTATTCTTTTTTTAGGAGTGGGTATTACAAGTGTGCAGTGCAAAGGAGTTGCGCTTTTGAAATACGACCCCCTGAAGTTGCTTTTTCAAACAGGCCAAATAAATATTAACTCCTTAAATTAAAGGAACGACAAGCTTATTACTTCTGATGGTTAGTGTGTCTGACAGCGCTATAACTTTGGGATGAGGGGTTGCTAAATGAGGGTCAGGCAGACCCACAGTGTGTGAGCTGCAAGCAGAGGCTGCCTGTGCGACACTGGGGAAACTCCGAGTGTAAATGAGTTCAGGCAGAAGCTGAGGAGCAGCTGTGGAGGTGCTCATGATGCTCCAAACAAACAAAACTCTCCTTAAAAGCACTCTGAAAGGCCGATGGGCCCTGTTCCCTGCCTGTAGGTCAGTGATAGCTGCAGGTTCTCAGCATCTCTTAACATCAAGACCCTGTTTCTTTGTCAAATGATCTGTGCTCTGGGGGAGCTTTGCCTGCAGCCTGAGCTGGACTAAACCTGTTGGACTCAGAGAATATAAGAAGGAGGAAATCCTGCCAGGGGGTTTCTCTCTCTGGATGAAACCCCTGATACCAAGCAGCCACTGTCTGAAGAGACTTCACTGGAACATCACAAATGTGGACTGGAAAATGAGGCACCTACTTTTCCTTCTTCATGAAAGAAAAAGCCGTTTCTGATACGATCCAGGTGACAATTAATGACACAGATTCTCTCACATGAGAAGGGCTTCTAAGCCTTGTATTGGTTTTTTGAGCCCCTTCCGGGATTCTTCTTTCGCAGGATGTGTTTTGTAAGTGGTGTGAGCGAGGATTTAAGACACGAAATGGTTTTGAAACAAAAGCTCATTGTCCCCTGTGGATAGAACAAAAATCCCCCAAACCAACCGAACAAAAGCTGTATTCCAAACAGTCCTTGCTGGAAAAAAAGAAATAAAAGTTGTCATCCAAATTAAACAGACTATACAAAATTAAACTCAGTAGAGAGGGGATATTTGTGCCGGGTACTCTCAGATACGATTGCAGAGATATGACGTGACTTGCAGTATTGTGCAAAATGTGAGTCCTCATTATGATGGGCACTACCATATATAACCAATCTCATCATCCTTGTCATCATCTTCATCTTCATCATCTTCATTAGCTGCTCTTACATGAATCTTCAGTCTCCCTTCTTTGTCCTTTTTTGTCGCTTCGGGCTCCTCTTCCAAATCATCCAACAATACAACAGATCCACCGCTGCCGAAATCCCCTGAGGTTTCTTGCTCTTCTTCTGAAACAAGTGAGCAGGAAAGGTCATTCCCTCCCAGGATACCAAATCCCTCGTTCTCCACTTCCCTTGTCATGCAAGCCAGTGTCATCTGCAATGTTATTTCTTAAATTCATTGGTTCAGCTCTTCACGCAACACCCTTTAAATGTCAATTTTCATTCTGAACTGGGATAAATATGTATCAATTTACTCTGAAAAATTTACTTGCATAAATAACCTCTCTGCATCCTCCTCAAGACATGACTGGAGAGTTCCAGCTCACATGCATGCAGGCCAGAAAATCATTACTGCTTTGTAAATATTTCAGTTCCATCATGGCTGTGTAAACCAGGCTAAAAATATGCCACAAACTGATTTTATTTGAGTGCATAAACCTCACTCTGCCAATGAAGCTACTGAATCTAACACCTGTGATGTGATTCTGGGCATCTTGGACATTCTAGGTCCTCTGTTCCTTCTCAGAAGAGAAAGCTGCACTCACAACCACCACTGAAGCCCTCTGAGGGAATGCAGGTGAAATGTCGCTTGTTTAGGTACTAATTGAGTATTTCACTTATCTATATGATATTGTTCTGCCAGAAATTTTTTGGGGCGTGTTTGCTAATGTGCACAACTTTACACATTTAAGGCCTCCCCTTGCCTGGAAAGAATCACAATAAATGTGAATTCCAGAGCCCACGGAACAATACATTTAATAACCACTCAGAGCGACCCCAGACCCTGAGTTATAATATCAATAATTACATTTTCCAGGCTGGTAACAAAAATATCTTAACAGTGCTTATTGCCTGCTAACTTCTGCTGTGCCCCTGCAGTCCAGAGGACCGGTAAGGGTCCCACTGGTAGCCTGAATGGGAACACACAGGAGCAGTTTTAACCCTGGCACTCGTGTTTCACTTTTCTTATCACACCCAGCTGGTACAGCAATGGCAGGGCTTACAACAGTGCTAATTTCTGCGTTGTCCGAGGCAAGCACATCATTACTCACCACAGCTGACTGTCCCTTGCTTTCTGGAGCCAGCTATCTCATTGCCATACTTATCAACACACCAGCACTGCCCTGTGCTGCCGTGGCACTGAGTGGCTTTGTAATAACCTTCTTCATTGCACCGGGGGATGAAAGCACCTGAATAAAATATAAGGTGTGCTCAGTAATTCGAGTCTCTGCAGGAACAAACAGCCGCGGAGGGTATCATGGACTTATCACTTATTTACAGGAAGATCTTTGCAATTTTGACAAGAAAATACAGGTGATTATCTGCTGCCTAAAAGTGGGGGGGAAGAAATTATATATGGTTAACTCTTTTCAGACAGCCTGATCACCCTGGCACAGGGTCTGGATGTTTGTGCACCTACAGCACACGGAGGGGGGTGGCAACACAGTGCTAGAGACGGGTTCAGTCTGTCCCTGAATGATTAATATTCCCACAGAGCCTTTTCAGATTCAACTCCTGCTTTTTAACTTTTCTTCCCAACTGGATTATTACCCCAACTTCATTAATTCTGCATTTCCCTTCCATTTGCACTCCTTCAGTGTTTATCATATAAGTCCTTCCACAACACTGTAATTATCCCTGGAAGGTATCTGCCATCTGCTTGCTATTCATACTAATCTCAGGCACATCCTCTGACTTACTGAGAGTTCCCATGTATAAAAGGAGAAATAATGCACAAGCTTTACAGAGAGGGACAACAGGATTTGAGTCAGTGAGTCTTTGGATTTGAAGCCCGAGATTTGTTTCGCAATAAAACCAGTATAGTTCAGCCTTGTATGGTTCATTCTGGCTTCTGCAGACAGGAAAACTCTCAGGAGAAACCTGTGTTATTGTTCCCACCATTTTTGGCAGATACAGCAAATGTACTTCAGTATGAAAAGCCCTCTTGTCCTTCAAGATGAATTAGCTTTATTCCCACGGGAGGTCACTACATTCATTTTCCCCTTCTTTGTCAATTGCTTCAATTTGAAACATGGCATAAACACACCCTTGTCCCCAAATTTCTTGTTGCAAGTGATTTTTGAGAAAGGATTTTTCTCCTTTGTCAGAGACACCAGTGATTTAGTGGCGATGCAGTAAGTTTTTTAACTAGTTCCATGTGTATAGCATCTATTCAGTCAGTTCAGGTGTTAAAGGAGCCACTTCCACCACATTTCTCAGAGAAAAAAATGAATGAGAAGATGCTGCCCAAATGTCACGAGATTCCCTATACAAAAGACACAAAAGTGGAAGTCAGTCAGCCTCGTACACGCAGAGTGTGTATATGAAGTGAATCTCTGAATTTCCAGGCTCGTTGCTCTGCAGTGTTTGAGTGCTGCTAATGGGGGTCTGGAAGGTGAGAACAGAAACCTTTGAACACCTGCAGAAATCTCTGTATATCAGCTCAGTTTTGGAGAGCACTTCTCATCCATTAGTGGGAGCTTCTTATATAACTTCAGAGCATGATCTTACAGAAGGTTTGCTTATAGGTACCACAGTTAAGTTCATGTACCAATGTAACCATACCAAAGACTATCAAAGACTCATTTTCACTATTTATAAGAGAATAGTTCTAATCATTAGATCTTATGTATTTCCCTTTGCAGTTTTTTTTTAAGATAATGCTCTGTGCTCAAACCTTTATTTCAATATTGATTAGGAAAGGTATTTTATCATCTCTGTGCTCGTGTCTTCTCTCTCATAAGCATTCCAGGTGTTTATCAGACTATTCACAACCTCGGGAGAAGTGCTGAGGTGCTGACTGGGAGCTGGTGTGACCCAGCATAGCTGTGCCCATGTCACCAGAGCTCCCCTGTTCTATCTGATGAACATCTGGCTGCAGGGAAGGATCACAGGGAAAGCCTCAGTGGCATTATGGGGTGAGCAGAGAACAGCTTCTGCATTTCAAACTGGCTCACGCTTTCTCTTTTCCTTGGGCGACGCAACCTTTCCCTTCTCCCAAACAGCCCTTTCTGCAGAAGTTTCAGCGTTTCTTGTAAGGTATGAAAATGTTCCACACTGCCTATAAAAGCCACGGATTCAAAAATAAATTACGGCCCAGGCTCTCTGCCAGCATAACTGTGTATATGGAATAGATTCACACTTTGGGTCACAGTGAAGAGTAGAAGGTACTTCTCCTCTTGCGTGGGAAATTGGTGCCAATTCGTATGTAACACCAGAGCTTTAAATATTTAGCTGTGCATACTGATGTCACAGTGTTTGCCAACCATCCCAGGGGAGATACAGCCTGTCCTCTCCAACCTGCCAGGTGCAGGTGACAGTCTGGAGAGGACAGGGAGTCACTGGGAGCAAGTGCTGCACAACGTGATGATTCGTCCTGTAAACTGGGCACGAGTCACCCCACGGTCACCAGAAATAAGCTCTGCTATCCTGGAGCACGGCACCCAGACAGCCCATTTTCTGAGAATATTTCACCCCATAATTTGGTTTGGCATCAGGCAACATCTGCAGTTATTGTCCTATCAAATATTTAATTATATTCCACACAAACTTGAACAGCACTGTTTCATCTGTATCCTCCTTATGGACCCAGAAATATATAACTTTTTTTTTTTGTTTGTTTGCATCATTTCCTTATCTATATGATGCTCCCCTTCCTCAGAGAACATGGAGAGAATAATTATATGCTAAAGATAGTGAAGCACACAGGTAAAAGCCTGACAGAAATAAGTGCTACCCAGCACACAGCTCCTTGCATTAGCTACTATATTTGCTGAATCCACAGGGCTGATACAGGAGAAAATAGTGACAGGAGCAGAAATTTATTACTTTAGGGATGTGGGAGAAGCACTATCAGGCTGCACAGTCGTGTGCTCTAAAAGTACAGTCTCTGCAGTTAATTGTACTCCAGATAAATCTGGTAGGGAAAGATGAATAGTGCTGTTTACTTTTTAATTCAGTCTCCTGGGATGCTAGACTCTATTTGAAAGCCTCCAAATTCAACACATCTAATGGCAATGGCTTTGAAGTTCTTTGTTGCAACTGTCCTGTGTTTTGAAAAATACGGAGAGAACACAATATCAAAAGTCATCACTTTTATCAATGGATACAAGTTAACAGAAACCTTCTCCAAGCTACTGCCCAGACTGTGAGTGCTGTGCTCTCTGTGTCAGGGTCAGAGGAGGAAAGAGAATAATCAAAGATTAGTTTCTCTGAAAAAAATAATCTCTCTTTTCCACCTTTACTGTTGCTACAAGTCACGTGTATGCTTTGCTTTCCATTTGCATGATTTTCCAGTCAGCGAAGAGACAATGTTTTCTGCTGTATAAATAGCTCTGATATCAGATCAAAAGCTCCCAGACAGGTGTCATTATGCAGGCAGACTTTCAAGGTAGGTGAAGCAAAGAGTTCCTCTCAATATTATAATTTTCTAGCTTGTGGAACAACCTGTGCCTGACACCTTGATTTGTTGAGCTGAGCCACTTTCATCCTTCTTTTTTTTTTTCTTTTTTTTTTTTAATACAGTTGACTAGAAGTTATTTGTGCTAAGGGACCATTCTTACTGCTTTTACTTTGTCATTTTACTCCTGCCATTGTGATCAGATCCCAGTGACACGTGCTACAACTACCTGCATGTTCCACTACCTGCAACACGGGTATCATTCTTCCCACACACCAGAACAAACCCCCTTATGTTTCAACTCAGATGACATTTACTGCACACAGCAAATAACAGCAAAGCACAAAATAAATATGGGGTAGTCAAAGCTATCTATTAAGAGCTGGGCTTCTTATTCTTTTAGGTGGCTTTGAAAATCATGATGCCCATGAGAGAGAGAACACCGTGACTCCCTCTGACACAACATCCACTTGAACACAAATGCAAAATATTTACTGAGTGGAGCACACATACCCTGAGTGATCAATCCTCTCTTTGCTCCCACGGCTATGAACAGCAGGAGCTGTAACTCTGAAACATCTTAATCTTTTAAACTTGCTCTGGAAGGATGATGGATCTAAACCACAGTCCCTGCAGCCTTGGGGAATGTTAATTCTTGGTTTAAACCAGTGAATCCAGGTTGGGATTGCTCGTGAGGTACCTGAGTCTTGGCCAGTGGCAGTGGCACCTGGGAATGGCAGGATTTGGCAAAGCTGAGCTTTGCAGGGCATCTGGAAACATCAGGCTGGACTCTGAGAGCCACCTGAGCAGCAGAGCTGATGTGCACGTTCCATGCCGCAGCTGGGGATGCTGCAGAACCTGACACATATTCTTGATGCAGGGCCTGACAGCCTGGTCTGACATCAGCCAGGCTCCTCAGGGTGAAATGCAGGGCTTGTGGTAAACGTGATCTGTCCTGTACACCTCAGTGACCTGGCCCTGCACACACAAACCCACACAAGTTTCAATAAAATACCAGCACATAAACATCAGCCTCCACACCACTGGGTCATTTTAGGGTAGGGAATTAGTCACCTTAAATTTACTCAGCTCAACAACCTGATTTTTTAGCAATTAAATGGGAAAATGCCAGATGGGGATTCATTTAACCTAATTTCAGGTATCCATCAGAGGAGTTTAAGTTATGAATCAAGTCAGGCTTGCAATAGTCACTGGAAAGAGGGACAGGCATGATCCCATCTTACAGCACGGAGCATCCTACAGGGCTGCCTACAATGAGATGACATGAATTCCTGTTTTCATTTACACAGAATCTACTGAAATATTGTAGAGAGTGATTAAGCAAAACTGAACCCCAAAGAATGCCTGCACTGCACCACGACTAGAAGGAGACAAGAACCCACTGGCTATGCACCTTCAGTCACCCTCTAAAAATGGCAGGCTTGGGTATCAAGCAGCCTCTGTGCTTGCTCTGACCTGTGAGGTGATGAAGGCAGCATTAAGCTCTGTGCAGAGAGGGCTCTGCATTTCTGGAGAGCTGTAAATTAGTCCTGACCCTGTTGCCACGCTGACACCTGTTCTGTGTGTTGCTATCTCATTATTTGTTTAATTTCATAGTGTCAGGCCTGCACTCAGTGCTGCACATTCTCGACTCAAAACATTAGTCTCTAATTGAAAAACCATTACTGCATATAAAGTTACAATAATCACAGAAGCTTTAATTAGTTGAGTAAATGAATAGCAAGTAATCGAACTTACCCAACAGACTCTTCCCTCTACTTAGCTTTTGAATTCTATTCATTTCATTCTGGCAAGGAAGACCTAAAATATAATGTATAAGAATCAGTTTCCAGATGGCACAGGACAGGCTCTGTAATGACTGGCTTCACTGCTGACATGAAATGTAGACTCCTGTACACCTGGGAATGAGAGCAGCCCATATGCTGGTACTGTACCACAAAACAGATTTATGTCATTAGCTCCACTAATTAAAAAAAAAAAAAGGCAACACACTGTAGTTGAGAGCAGTGTTTGGGGGCCATTTTAATTGTTAAACCATTCTACCTCTCTTTTCACCAAACTGACAACATGCCAGCTCTCTGATTTATGACTTGCTAATTGACTAATTTCTGCATTAATAAAAAGGGCAAGTTCTTGAGCTCTCTATCAGCAATAGAGCTTATTTCTAGATTGTGTGCACTGGCACTTACTGCTTTGTTTTAATGATCAAAGGATGTTCACACAGTTCATCTGTGACACTAAACATGGTCCCTCAATGCCCTTTCACACCACCCATGGGGAAAAGAGCTTTTTAACACGCCTGCCTGGCCCTGACCAATCTCTGTGAGCAGGCCCATCACACAGGGAGACCCAAACACCTGCCCCTCTGTACTTGTGCACTGCACAACTCACCTCCTGGCTTCTGGAAGCAGTAGCACCACTCGTTGTTGGAAAGCTTTCCATCCTTGAAGGAGTCGCAGGAGTTGAAGAGCGGTTTGACACACGGCTCGTACTTATCCAGGTAAATGGCACTGATCTCCGAGGGATCCAGCAGCAGGTCGTAGTTCATGTCGAGTTTGTTGAACATCCAGCCTAAGGAATCCTTACAGATTGGCAGTATGCTGGTGTCAAACCCTGTAAGAAGACAGGCAAACATCCCTCTGCTGAACCCCAGCACGGCCACCGGCACAGGAACCCCTGCTGAGGGGAAGCCTTGCTGATTTTGCTGGGCTGGACTCTGATTGTTAGACTCACTTGCCCAAAGCAGAAGAAAATTCTAAGACTGACCTGATTGTGTACTGAAAGCTTCAAACCCAAGCACAGCTACAAACTAGAGCACTGCTGACTCTCTGTAGGAGCTGTGGGGTGGGGAGGGCTGAGATTCAGAGTTCATTTCTGTAATTCAAAGTTATTTCTACTCAAAAAATTCTTGCTTTTTTTTTTTTTTTTTTTTCCATCCCCAGTCCAAGTGGGCTGGCCTGGGTCCAGGAAACTGAAATGAGAAGTGGTTGCATCCACCAAATTTTCAAACTAGACTGAGTCTGAATGCAATTGAAATCCTGTTTCCCATACTCGTTTCTAGCTGCCTGATCAAATTCTTTCCTGTTGTGCTCTCACCTTCCACCTCTCATCCTTCCTTTTCACTCTTCAAAGCCCTGTCTGGGTGGCAGACAACAAAATGCTTTGATCTGGACTGTGAGCTGCCTGGGGGAGACAGGGGGAGAGAAGGGGCGAAGTGTCTCTTTCTTCCACCACTCCGAGGAAGGACAGTGCTGCAGCTGGGAGCTCCATGGGGCTGCTCGTGCTCTCCCACGCTGTACCAGTCCCACTCCTCCCTCTGCAGCCTCCAGGATTCTGCAGCAATCCAGGAGTCTGCTCTTCCAGTGCTTTGGAAACCATCATTGTAATTCATTTTAATGGCCCAGATTTTTCAAAGGCTGCAGCAGCAGCAGCAGTGATTATCACAGAAAGCCCAAGTCATGCACACAGATACCCACAGTGTCCATGAGATACATATTCCAGTGTTCTGCAGGCTCCACACAAACAGTGGCATTGCCTCTTTCCCAAACAAGACAGGGCATTCATTATAAATCTACTCTGTCGTGGTATTTTTTCAGTGCTTGGATAACTTACATTATCTACAGTGTAAGGAAGTATATTTATAATACAGAGATAACAAATCTGATAATGAGGATGTTGGTTTGAACCAGGACTGGGGAATATGAATACACTGGCTGGAGATCTGCAGAGGCAGAAGGTTCCTGACATCCTGGGCACTTTGTGCTCACCCTGTCCCAGCTGTGACTGAGAACCTGCCTGTGCTCTGCTCACTCTTTGGGGCACGTGGAGAAGCCTGATGAGCTTTTTCCTTCGGCTGCACCTTCCACTGAGAGAGGTCAAGCTCAGCTTTATTTGCTGTACGTGTCCCTTTCAGGGTGCTGCTTTGTTGAAGTGAAGCCCAAGGTGCTGCTGGAGTCACTCTGACAGTTTGTCCAAGCTCTGCAGCGCACCTGCTATTTTAAGCATTGATCCAGAGGAGAGCAGGGCTTTATGCTGGAAGCTGTACTTTTTGTATGCAGCTGTGGCTGAAGGTTGTCAGTGCCACAGAGGGGCAATCAGAAGGGTTAACTGATGGGAAGGTTTGTGTCATTCATAAGACGTTTTCTCTGAGGGAGGAAGAAGGTAACGCCATTTCCTCAGGGCTCCAGGCAGCTCAGGCAGGGAAGAGAGAAATCATGCTGAACATTTCATCACATTTTTCTGCTGTTATCTCCTATAACATTATCTAATCACATTTGAGCAGAGTGAAAAAGAAAAAGCCCTGTGTGAATAGATGTAGGGGGAAGCCTGCTTGCCTTGCTGAAGCAATTAGGAATATTGACTTCAATTATTTTAGTCATCTGAAGAAGGCAAGGAGGATTTGGTCGCTGTGCAATCTCTTGCTGAGTGAATGGATTTAAGATGCCTTGACTTTGCCTTTATAAAGCAAGAGAAGCAGGACATGCAGCCCTGCCTTGTGTGGGTGTGTGCTGTGCCAAGTTTCCCACCACGGGGCAGGTTAAAAGCAGTCACACAGGCAGGGGTGGGTCATTCAGCTGCAGGGTGGAGTACAGGTGGGATCAGTACATCCTTCAGCTATCACAGTTTGGAAGTTTTCAGGAGAGAAAGAGCTGGGTTCTGTTGTCTGCTCTTTTTCTGCACAGATGCCCTCCCTGGTAATGCCCTTTACACCCTGCTGAGGCACTTACTGCTGCAAAGATGAGTGACTGCAAGGTCTGCTGTGTAATCAGTGGTGTGTGTTGCTCAGCCCTGGTGGCTCTCTAAAGGTCATCTCTTAACTGGCAAGGATCAACACAGGGAGGAGGAGATCCTGCCATGAACTTGCTCCTGGCAGTGTCTGTAGATTATTTCTGAGTCTTGTTTTCCACCCTGCTGGGAAGTCTGTACCTGTGTGTCCAACAGGGAAACAGCACCAGCAGGTTTATTAAGAGGTTGGATTATCAAACAGTGCTGGATTATTAGACAATGTGGTCTGGAAGTCTTTAACTACTGAGATAGTAGGTGTGAATGAAAGTCCTGATGGTTATTATCAGTGGAAAGGTTAATTCTTTAATTGTTCCTCAACATGTGGTTGAAAATGAATAATAGCATCTACCTCCACTCCATATTGTCTTCTGGTAAAAAGTACTGCCCATAAATCACCTTTTGCAACATTGCATCTGCAGCCCAAACCCAACAACCCTGGGTGCTCTCAGCACCCAGCAACAGGAATGAAAGCCAAGTGTGTCCTGAATGTCCAGCACAGGCTCTGACTCCCTGCATGACCAGTGCAGGTGATGGGAAGTGGTTTTTGGAGCTCACTTACCTTCACTGGGAGGTCACTGTGCTCCCATCAGCTTGGTGAGGCCAAGTGATGCTGAATGAATTAGCTCCTCAGTAGAGCCTTTTGATATACTTACTTAAAAAAAACCTCAATTTGCTGGCTGAAATAAACCATAGACTGTAACTCTGCAATGAATTCAGTGCTTGGTTAAGGGGCTGGATTTCCAGCACAACAGACCCAGAACAAGAGGAACCTCAGTGAGACCTTCTCTGCATCATTCTGTCCACCAGCTTAGTGCTGCAGTGCCTTTGGTGAGAAGCAGGAGAACGGTGCAGGCTCCACATCCCTCTTGCTCTTGGCTCCTTGGCAGAGGCTGCCAACACAGATGCCAGCTGATGTCAGCTGAGGTGGTGGCTGCTCTCATTTGGACACCTGCTCACAAGGACCTGCACTGAGACCATCACGTGTCTCCTCCCCACTGACAGCTGTTTCAGCATCCTAACAACTCTCACTCACTACAGAGCTGGAAGGAAATCAAACTGCTGACCTACATGTAAAAGTCTCACATCCCACTAATACATAAAACGCTCCACCTCCTCTGAATTAAAATGGAATTAAATTTAAAAAAAAAAAAAAAGTCTGTAAGTGAAAATCCTAATTAAAAATAAACACACCTTCTGGCACGAAAAAATTATTTTCCCCCTTCAAGAGTTGACTCACATGAGCCAGTTTTATTTTATTAAAGTATACTACAATTAAATTAACAGGGGAATAATTAACCTAATTTCCCCCATCACTTAAAATAAAAGAAGGAAGAGAAGAAATGTTCCCCAGAAAAAATCCTTTATATTGCATAGATCTCTAGTAAAAGAAAAACAACTCCCACTCTAGCCAAGGAGACTATCTAGATACAATAAGGGGATGTTATGAATTATCAAAAGGCTCAGGAGCAATTTGAATCTGATCTTGCTACCTAATTAGTTTTATTATTTCCTTATGTCAAAGCATGTCCCTGAGTTTCTTGCATCATTTCTTGAGGAGATTTTAATTGTACAAAACCTGCAGAAGATGAAGTTCCTGGCCCATGGTGCTTTGCTGGGATCAGAGAGCTCGTTGAATGAAGGTTTGAGATTTAAACACAACGAGCGCCCTCATCCCTTCTCTCCTCCCCAGAGAGTTAAAAACAAAACAAAAAGGAGTGTGCATCTTTCCTTCACCTGGGGGTGAACTTAACACACTCAAAATGCTTATTTACACTCGCACTAACATCTTTTAAAAAATTAATGTAGCATAGAGAAATCTCTGCTGGAACAGCTTCTCCAGACAGCCCTCGTGTCCGAGGCATCGCAGGCATCGCGTCCCACCATCTGTTCCTTTTGCTGCCACAGGGGCACAGCCAGAATGGATCACTTGGAGGGTGTTCATGCCTTTTAAGACTCTACAGGCATAACCAAGCCAGGTTAATGGAGTGATCTATCTGGTGAGGAGGGCAGCACATGCAGAGCAATAAAACAAAGGGCAGCACGTACATCAGAGCGTGTTTGCAGAGCTGTGTGTGTGTCCTGTTTGCCAGGATTCACAGAAATTCTTTTCTACATCTTGGATATGTGAACTTTTCCTTTGAATTCCGAGCCCTGTTTAAGATGTCTTTCATTTTTACAAATGTCTGAAGTTAAAGTTAGAGGGAGCCAAACACTGCTGTCCTCACTCTGCGAGTATTTTCAGTGCTACCAGAGAGAACTGGAGCTGCAGAATTTGGCACATGCAGATTAATTCACGAATACCTGCTGCAAACCCTCAAAAAGCAAAATAAGACCAAGTTTTGTGGCATTCAAAAATGATTTAGGCATCTAAACTCATAAAGTTTCTTTTTTTTTTTGAACTGAAATATAAGAAAATGTGCCAAACTAAGTCAACAATCTAAAAATGAACATTGTTGAGATCAAGCGTTTAAGATCATCAAGGCAGCCTTTCAAATAAAAGCTGCCAGGAATCAAACTAAACTAAAAAGAGATAACAGCTCCTCTGTGAATCAGAGCAAACACTGCAGAATTACCAGGGATGTTTTTCTTACCAAAATGTCTTCAGAAAGAGGAAAAAAAAAAAAAAAAGACTCAACACCTTTAGGATTGTATTGAGACTTTGGCCTCTGGCAAGGTCCTCATGAGGACCTCTCAGGTTTTGCATGAAAAACATCCTTTTGGGAATCTGATAAAATGAGATTTCATGTGACTCTGGGCCTACAGGACTTCAAACAAAGTTTAAAGCCTCTGAAGCTTTTTGTCATGGGTTCTGAAACGAATTCACATCTGGAAGCCATTATTAGATGTACACCCAGTTGCTTTTTGCACTATGTTTCAGCTTCCTCTGCATGGGAATATCTTTTTTCAGAGTACTGTTTGAGAAGTAAGTAGGACATGTGGTGTTAAAGACACTGACTTTGTTGTAAATACTATGGAAAATCAGGGACACGTGAAAAAGAGATCATTTACACAGAACACAGCTTGTTTCACCATGCAGTTTTTAAGATGTGATTATTTACTCAGCATTAACGATTTTGGCTATAGTTTTGAGCAAGACAGCACAAAGAAGAGGAGCAGTGGAGACATGAACCAGCAGGAAATGATGTGCTGGGTCTGCTCTGCTGCCCCCTCATCCTCTGTGCTCTCACCCAAGCACTGGGGTGGGTGAGAAGGGAGCAGCTGACTGGACCCTTCACATTCCGTGTGTGCAGCTTTAGACAGCTCATACCAGAGAATCAGGGCAGGGAAGGTGAGTCACAAACCCAGATAAAACTTGTGCATCCTACTTTGCAACCCAAGGGCCTCCGTGTTTTGGGACACACTGTTTAAAAGAATTAATGAGTCCTTACAGAAAATAAAGTTGCATCTGCTCTCTGATGAACATGACCTCTTTTGAGGCTGTGATGTGAATCCTTCCCCTCCCTGGTGGGTAAATGACATCAAAATCAGTCACGTTGGCTTAACCCACAGAGACTAAATGTCCTCTAAACTGTTCACTTTCTTCCTTTCTTGGGAATAAAAAAAAAAGGCATCAAAGGAAGTAATGATGGTGTTATTAAATACCTGGGACACAACACATTTACGGTTTTCCAGATCATTTAACTCTTCCACTTCCATGGCTCAGGTGTGGATGTTTTAATTATTTTTTTTTCTCTCATAGAAACTGTTAGCAGGAAATTGCAAAGTAAAATTTAAGTGAGTTTCTCCCAACACTGAAATAATTCTCTGCACTTGTATTGCCACACTTTTGGCTTATCCTGCTGACCTTGGGTCAGAAAATGCTTGGCCATAAAGCTGGTGGGCAAGGATACGCCACAGTCCAACCCCAAGGAGTGATTTGGATGCAGCCATGCTGGCTTGGAGGGTCATGGAATTTAACTGTACAGGCACAAATTAAGCCATGTTAGTCCCTGAGCAGTGTTTCATTCACTGGTATAGAGGTCACCTCCATGGCCTTCAAAGGGATTTTCCTGATTAGCTTGTGAAGGCCATTCTGCCTCTAACTGCCTGTTCTCAGAGCAGTTTGGGCCAGAGGGGGAACAGAAGGACTGCAGCTCCTTCAGAAAATGGAATTTTTTACTTGCAGGATCAGGTCTCCTGAGTGCCTGCTGACTCCCTGGCACCTGCCTGACACGACACCGCAGCGCTAAGAGCTGAGCAGGTTGGGAAGTGTCCCCACCCCTCAACGTTCAACAAGGAAAGGGCTTTTCTTACTGCCTTGCGCCGTCTCCGAGCTCGTGGGTTTGATGACCCGGTTGGCATCCTCGTGGAGAGCACCAAACCAGTCCTTTAGCCTTGAAGCCAGGCTCCTCAGTTCCTTGTCTGTGCAAGCTGGAAAGAAGAACAAAGCACCAGACTGAGTCAGGGAAAAAAACCCAAACACCTTTCCCCGGAGGGTCCATTAGAAAAGTCGTGTTTGTGGCTGCAAAGTTCTCCTCGTTAAGAGCTCTGAAGGGAAAGAAAAAAGATGCAAGTTCAAAAGAAAATGTAAGTCATCCTGAATTATAAGTTGTACTCAAGTACTTCCTCCAAAGCTGACATGATTGGTGATGGAAGAAGCGCCACGCAGAGCTCCCCACCGGTCGGAAATCAGAGCTGTGCGACTGTTTAACTTCAATGTTTTCACCTTTTAGGATTTCAGAGAAAAATGTCAGTCAAACAGATGGGGAAGAGGGCCATGCTTGCCTAGACATGCTACTCTTGAACAAGATGCTGGGAGTAATTTATAGCCCCGTTTGGCTTAGTGTAAGGCTATTATCACAGTAATAGGAAATATATATACTTATTTATATACGGAAAAAATTGTCATGTTGCTCCAGTTCTACTGCAAGTGAGGCTCTGCCACCTCTGAAGGTTGTCAATTCCATTTTGTTAGCGAGGTAAAACATTTATTTTCTTATAAATTTTTACTGAGAAATATCTAATTTTTATTTTTTTTTCCACCAGAAATTTCTGCCAAGAGATTAACATCCAGCTGAAGCAAATATTTTTAAGGGAGAAAGCTGCATTAGTCACCAGTTTCTGCCAGAAAAAATATTCTTGTTTCTGTATCATGTTTGGTGCTTAAAATTCACATGCTCAGGCAATTTTATTATTCCTGCTGCGCACTCATTCTACATTTTAAATGGCATTTCTTGGAATCCAGAGGAAGATTTTATGCTGTAGAGGCAGACATCCTTCACAGGCACAATATGTCTTCTCCATCTCACTGCACATTGTAATACTCCTCCTTCCACCTTATTGAAGAACAATTGAGCCCCACAGCTCTCCCAAGTTAAACTCACAGCTCCAGTTCCTGCAAGGAACTTGCAGAGATCTGGCTGTGCTGAGCCTTTGTTTGTTCTCCCACTTTATTCTGGGACAGGAATAAAGCTAAAAATAGAAATTATGGCCTTTTCCTAAGTGGAAACTATTTTAGCCTTTGAGAGGGGAGAAGAAGAAAGATTTCCCCCTTTTTTTTTTTTTTTCTGTAATGATGGGAAAATTTGATCAATTTTCCTACTGAAGATAAAAACCTGAAGATCACTGTGCCTCTTTACTGAGTGCAGGTATGGAAAAATCAGGCCTTAAAGAAAAAAACCCCAACAATAATGGAAAATAAATGAAAGACAATGCAATACTAACTCTAAAGTGGCTTTTACCTTAATGAAAAACTTTACCACTTTATTTTCTCACTAAAATTAATATTATGTTTTACTCATTGTAAACTCTCTCATCTTTGAAAGTTAAAAGCAAAGCCAAGATAGGATTTTTGAGCCCACCATGCCATTTCTCCTATAGAACACCTCGTATTGCTCTTTTTTCCTCGGCTATTACTCACAAACAGTCTTTTATCAGAGAAAAATCACAGCAGAAGCAATAGCAGAACAAATTCCATCATCCTGCCTGTAACGAGGCCCCATCAGGAGATGTCTGAAGGGGGGGAAGGTACGAAGAAAACTAATTTTATCCTTGCTAAATATTCAGCAACGAACTAGGTCTAGACAGGCACAAATGATTTCTTATTTTATGAATTTAGATCCAAAAAGATAGAGAAATTTCCACCGTACATTTGGTAATTTCAGCAGGAGCTGGGCACTTAAATACATGTTAGTAGTGATGCAGATGCTTCTTTTATGATGCTGTTCCTGCATTCCCTAATGAACTCTCAGCAACTGGTTCTCATCAGGCATAATTTTTGTCAAAATATTATCAGGCCACTGCGGCCCCACGAGAGACCCTAAAAGCCTTCTTTTCAATAACCTGTCTCGCAAATGTTCCCTGAGGAGTGCACTGATAATAATTCATCTTTCCCAACTAAAAGCAGGCAGAATCTTTTCTTTCCTTCCGCCTTGTCCTTCAAGAATCAGTTTTGCAAAAGAAATGAAGTGCACAAGTGTTGTTTAGCCAATACCTCGTGCCCCTGACAGGTTATCCACGTGTTCAGAGTGTTTCCCAAGTGCATCTGCAGTCAACCTGCACACACAAACACAGCTTTGACTCCTGATTGTGTCAGGTGGGTGGAAAAAAAAAATAAAAAAAATAAAGAGGATTCATTTGTCCAAGAAATGAGTAATGTAATTTTATTGTGCAAGCCTGATACTTTTTTACTGTGGCCTGTGTCACCTTTAGGAAGCCCAGGCTGGAACTGTGGACCACAAGGATCCATTCCCGTGCCTTCCTGACCCCTTGTCATGCCTCGTGGACAGGTACACTGAGCTTCACAGGCAATCAAGGCCCAGAGAAAAAGAAAATAACAAAGAAAACACCCTCTAAATCCACTTTCCTTGTTCAGACTTGGGTGTTTCCAAAAGCCAATCCTAGAGACCACAGCCACCCCCAGCTCTGATGGATCTGGCATTTGCTCCCAAACTCACAGTGTGAGGGAAGCTCCTGCTCCACCTCCCCCAGCCTCAGCACCCTAACCCAGGGCCAGAATAAGGGCTCTAAAATAAATCCCACAAAGTGGACATTTGCTGTAAACTGCATTGACTGAGGTAAGTGGAATCTGGGCTTTTAAATTGCAACAGAAACCAGGACTGAACGCACAGTGTAGGTGGGACAGAAGCAATTAATTAATGGTAAACAGAAGTAATTAATTAGTGGCAAATCTGACTTGAAACAACTCCTCTGTACAGTCCAACCACACAAACACAACAGTATCTGTAAAATGCCACTTGCAATGAATGGTTACATTTTTTTCCGTGCCTGTAACTAACCTTGTTGAGATTTTCCATGCCCATGGACATTCCTGCTTACACCAGTCCTCTGCCTTTACCCAACTGCTGCAATCCCTGAGCTGCATCAGCTGGGTTATACCCTGCAGCTGCTCAGACACAGGACCCCTGTATCCTGCTGTCATTCCCTAAAATTCCCTTGATTTTGATGGAGCCAGAACAGGCTTGGAGCCTCCTCTGTGCTGCATCTTCCTCAAGGACTGTCCCCCCCCCACTCCCTCTGAGAGCAGTCTCTGAGGGGGGACCCTGGATGATTTATTCCTCTGTTTTCACTGACCACAAACCCTGCAGATTTCCCTTGGAATTCAGTCTGAGGCACGACTTGACAGGGAGCCCAGAACTGGAGTTTTCTGCGCTCTGGATAGTTCTTTTGTGAATAACTGAGATACTCCTTAAGTATGCTGCTTAAAGATGATTCCACAGCGGATAGGATGTTGAGGTTCTCTCTTAGGACTGCAGTCTTTCTTCACAAGGATAAATGCTGTTTCATGAGTCAAACAGGAACCAACTCTGCTGTTAATATGGAGTGAATAATAAATTTCTGGACGAGACTTCAAAAATTTTATGCAAAGTTCAGTTAAATTTCTATTCGAGCATTTGATGCCCTCAATCTTACTTCCTCCTGCACATTAAAATAGAGGGAGCATTATTTTACATTTTCTTGTATTAAATTTCATTTTAATGCCACTATGCCTGGTAAAAAATATCCTGCCTCTCTGCCCAATGGAACTGCCTTCTATTTAATTTATTTGAACATTACCAGCAGGATATAATCACTCTGAATTTGTTTGTTTGGGACATTTAAAAGTGGATTGACATGCAGAAGGCACAAGTTTCCTACAGTATCAGGCCCAGCCTCCAGCTGTGTTCCAGGAACCAGAGCACTTCGTGTTTTATTTCTGGTGGTAGGGCCCATTAAGTTACATATCAAACAATTAGAAAGCACAGCTCTGAGGACCCCCAGATCTAAGACCCTCATCTATAAATTTACAGTGGCATAAGTTTTAAAGCACTTTTAAGAACACTCCTCATAAAAGATGCAGTGCAAATGTACCTCTTAACTATTAATAGAAGTTTCAAATCACATTCCTCAGACGACAAGAACAGGGCTGTAGGAGGAGTGGAAGTGATAATGGGTCTCTTGCTATTTGAAGATTTATAAGGAGAGAACACTGGGGTTGCAAACAATATGGACATTGACGTGAACTCGAAGCACTGATTAAAAAATCCAGGATGAAGAGAATCACCAAGGGAGGAACCTCTCCATAGTCCCTCTCTAACAACCGAAATCTGTCCTGTCAACTGTCAACAGCCCTTTAAAGCTATGACACAGACTGTTTCATAGTGCAAACATGTTGCAAAGAGGCATTTTCACTTTGGTGTGTGTCTTATCAAGATAAGAGACTCTGCCTTCAGGTCATTCCCTACACCTTTTAAAAAGAGAACAAGCCACAAGGCTTTTTGCTTGCTATTTTATCCATGTCACCAAAAGTTCTGCCTTAGCAGCCACGTGGCACCAGATCCCCGTGGAACAGGAACTCCTGGATCCCTCACTGCTCTTCCATGACACCCACGACTTCCCTGTGGGCAGCAGGTTGGGATGGTTGCTGCTCCAGTCAGGGATGGAGAGGCAGGATTAGAATATCCAGCTCTCCCACCTGATTCCAGAGCCAGTGCCCTGCACCTGCCATGGCAGCAGGACCAGGAACAGAGGCAGAACCTGTCCCTTCTCTGAGCCATGGAGGATCTGTGGGCCGCTGGATCCAACCCACACCCTCACATCTGAACCTGCAGATGTGAGGAATTATCCCGCAGATCTGATTTATTAGCGAGCACTGAAAGTGTAGATTTATTCCCAAGGGTGAGGGAATTGGTCCGGCAGTTATTTATTCCTAACAAACTGGAAGCACTTTTGCTAAATACCTATTTTCACTAAGCAGAAAACATTAATCTGACCTAATGGAAAGCCATTAGCTTGCTCTAAAGGCTCAGGTTTTTATAGGCCTGCTTCTGTTATGGACTTTTTCAGCTCTACAGACACTATATACATAGGTGGTGAAAATTAGCAGGATAATATTTCATTTCACTCTTTCAGATAGGGACTTCCAATAGTAC